AGACTTTGAAAGGCAGCGGGAGCGGTGGGAGCTCCGCCAGCAGAGGAGGAGGAGAATTCATCCCCGCTCAGTCAGCAAACAGAAGTGGGTGGAGACGCTGGTGGTGGCCGACCTTAAAATGGTGGAGCATCATGGGAGCAAAGCTGTGGAAAGCTATGTCCTGGCTGTCATGAACATTGTAGGTATATCTTAATTATAGCCTTTTTACTCATCTCAACCCAATTACTGCCCACGCTTCTGTCAATGCACACAGTCATTCTGGGAGAGTCATATGAGAAGAGTGACGACAGATATGTCAGTCTTCTCACCAGGTGTCTAAGTATTTATTTACATTTGCATGCCTGTGCTGAAGTTTAATACACAAAAGATTGCTTGCTATGGCTACAATGCAACTTGAGAAAAAATCAGCAAAGGAATAAGGCTCCTTCTTTTGTTTAAAAACATACATGATACAGTTTAACAACCATTGCAAGTAAATAATACAAGAGACAACTAAAAACGCATTCACCAGATTGATGACACACGCACAGCATTTAGCACTTATAAGCAAATATTATTATGAGACAAATGAATTGTAAAACCTATTATTGCGGTATATTTATGAATTTATACAAAATACTAAATAAATGATTAAAAGATCCTTCCAGATATTTTGAATGCAGAGCAACATCAGGTTTAAACAACAGTAATTCTGCAGTTTGAGACCAGATTGTGTTTCCATCTCTGTGCCAGGTAACACAACGGATGGATTAACTAACACGTTCCTAATCAATGTTATTACCGCCTCATAGCATGGGCCCCGGGGTTAAGCAAATGGACTCCTGGGCTGTTATCGATTAGCACAAACATTGTTTTTTCCCAAATAAAATCATGCCTGGTCCACAGGATACCAGGAAAGGGAATGAGTGACCGAGAAGCCTGTGGATTAACAGACTTAATAGACAATAATACACAGATGAAGCAGTCATTATTCCTCACATCCTCTCATAGTAATTATTTGGAGTCCTCTACACTCCAGCTTTGAACATTAAAGCCCCAAACGATTCATTTTTATGGAAACAATCTTGCACAGGATCAAGGGGAAACAACCTCTTGCCCAAACAATCAGTAATAGCTTCTTCTTCTTCCGCGGCCGGCAGCTGCTCCATTGTCTCCTCACGGACGCAGTCTCCAAGCTATCAACTTCACAAGACGTGCATACATTTGAATTATTTCTGTACTGTGTGCACCCAGCGGTATGATTTACACACATGTAACAGCCAGGAGAGTCAATCTCAGTAGAAACATATTGAAAGCTCTTTCACAAAAATAGCTCCCAACTTCCTTTCACATGGTATTCTTATAGTTATTTATAGATTTTTCTTTGGGATATGTATCACAGTCATATACAAGCAAGGCACATACTGTATACTCCGTGTTGCATTGTTGGAGGAGCCTGGGATTGAAGTTTTTCATTGCCACATATACACTGTAGCTACTGTGCTCATGACAATAAAGCCTTGAATCTTAAGATCACATGGACATAAAAAAGATGCAGTAAAAGTCAAAAAAGCATTACTTACCCTTTGAGACTGAGTGGAAATGTTGAGCAGCTTGAGAGGAAACACGCTAAATCAACAACACATTGTGGCTTTAAATAGCTGCAGCTCTATTTTGATTGAAACGATTAACAATAGAAAGACGTAGATAGACTGATAGCAAACGTATTGGGTACTGTTAAAATGTGTTGCAAAGTTGAATCCGCTATAATATGTTTACTAAACATCTGTAATTGAACACTACTGTACAAGAGAAAAGTTGAAACAAAGTTTTGATGAAGCAAAGCGTTGCATGTTTGTCAAAGCTATTCATTTTGAAGTGCCTCAGTAACAACAGAGAAGGTTTGAGGGGTAGACGTTTTGGATGGCAGCAAGAATCTCAATGCAAGATTCAAAGATTGATTGCCCTTATACACAACTACGTAGTTATGTTACTAGTAGTTATGCAATGAATGAAACACTTAGGTCACAGGTTTCCCAACAGTGCATTTACAAGAAATGATGCAGCCAGTCAGGATGCTCCCCTCTGGAGTTGAGTTGTAGAAGTGTTGCTTCTACAACTCAACTCTAATCAGACTCAAGCAGCCATACATAATTGCAGTTATTCCATTGCAGACTAAAATGTCTCTCTTGCTCCTTGGCATCAATTGTTTGCAGTTTTACGACTCTAAATTGAACTCATCCATCTTTATAAGCACTTTCTTCAATGATTAGTCCAGCATCACATTAGCTTAAGCCAAACTGTGAAATACTTCTGCATTGAATAAGACATTTGTTGTGTTGAAATGAAGACAGAAAGCTTGAGCTTCATGCATTTTAATGCCTAATGAACAAATGTCTAATGTGAACAAATGTTATCTTAAGAGGTTGAATCTATGCTTTAGATGCACTGTGTTGAACCTTAAGGTCCGTTTACTTCGCCCAATATCAGAGGGTCGAGTGTTTGTACAAGGGAGTTATATAATGAATGTGTCTTTTATTTAATATTACATTTTGAAATGTTCTGATAAACCCAAGATGTTCCACATGACTTACAACAGCAACTTAAATTCATCTTATCTTAAATAATAGTTACATTATTGCTATAATAAGTACGTATCAGCAGCCTTTATACTGTATATAGAATACTTTTGATATGCCCTATGCTGTGGGAGCGAAGAATAAGAACTGTAAAAAACTAGTGTTTTTTTCTCCTTCAGGTGGCGGGTCTGTTCAGAGATCCCAGTATTGGAAACGCAATCAACATTGTGGTGGTTCGACTCATACTACTGGAGCAGGATGAGGTAAAACATTTTTTGTTTTTATGATGAAATGTAAGTCATTTCAGAATTTAAAAAATGGAATAAGCTTTATTCATTAAAGGCATAGTTAGTGGGCTGTTACTTTAAATATAATAAAGCTTAAAATTATTATTTTAAACTAACAGGTAACTTATATGAATGACTTGCAACACGGCCACAAAGTCTAATCCTAAACTATGTAGTAGAGTCAGAGTTCATCAGCACCTCTAATCTAATTTGTTGAAATTATGAAGAGAAAAAAACACACTTTACGATGTTAAGGGGGATTACGTGTCGATGCTCAGTAACCTCCTGAATTGTTGTCTGCCAGGCAAACACCAGAGATGCCTACACCGCCCCATAAACTGTTACTTCATTACTCTGCTTTTTACTCGAAACAAGCAAACATTATAAAACATAGTGTGCTTTAGGAGGCAGATTGGATTAACTGTGGGCAGAGCCAGGCTTGCTATTCCCCCCTGTTTCTAGTCGTTATGCTGCTAACCGGCTGCTGGCTCTAGATTCAAACTGTATTTATCGTGCAGACATGAGAGTGGTATCCATCTTCACATCTTACTTGTGGCAAGACGGATATCCCCCAAAATGTCAAAAACGTTTCCTTCTAAAACTTTATTATTTGAATTGTAATGAAAAGCTAGAGCCTAAATGCAAAGCGGAGGAAAATACATCACAGCGCAGATACTTTCACAGTTACATTTTTGTGTTAATTATTTCTTCGAGACTAATAAAAGGCAAAAGGGTTCAACTAATTTCTGCTTTCAAATAGTTAGCAGCTGTCAATGTTTCCTGTATTGTCCTTCACAGCAGCAGACCATGAGATTTAGATGTGAACTGAGCAAATAAGCTCAACAAAACCACTTTCTTTTTCATTTGTTGACATGTGTCTGAATGTCTGTTATTAGGGCCAACTAGGTTTCACTTAAAGGCTGCATATACTGTAATGGCAGAGATGGGGCAATTTCAATTATCTTATATGTTCCATAAAACTGAGCCTATATTTTTCTCTATGCTTTGCACTGTGAATTCTGAACCTGTTGACTTTAACTTCCCCTCCCTTCATCTCCACATGACATGTTGATAACAGGATGACTTAAAGATTACACACCATGCTGACAACAGCTTGAACAGCTTCTGTAAGTGGCAGAAGAAACTAAACATGAAAGGAGAGGAACACCCGCTCCACCACGACGTAGCAGTTCTGCTAACAAGGTGAATAGAAACTCAACGCACCAAATGTCACTCTCAATCGCACATAATCCATGGTCTCCCAAGAGTCGAAACTGTAGCTGTTTTACATCTTCCCGGAGCACATATTGATTTTCTGATCTAGACAGTTGACGAGAGAATAATGAAAGCTCCATGCCTTATATCACAAACAATCATATATTGTTGTCTTTTTCATTTGACATCTAACATTTGTCGATGAAGTTAACAGATTGATAGTCAAGTCCCAAATGCCTCAATAGAGCAACTGCGGTGAAATAAAAAGAAAACAAACACTGGACTCTCATGCATTTACTAAAGAATTCTCCAATGAAGGTCGATGTGGCTCATTAGTACAGGAAAAACCTTTCAAACTGTTTTTGAGAGGAAAACATTTGCAGTACAAAAGGAATACAAAAAATATATACTTTTGTCTCAGAAAAATGTACGTTTTCTTCTGTTCTTTTTCCTTTTAAATTGTAAAACCTTCGTTTAAAGTATGCTTGACAAATAAGTTAGCCTTGCAGTCTTTAGAATTTTTTTACAGATAAAAGATCATTTCTGATTTCACCTGTTTTACCTCGTGATTCACTTCTTCCCTAAAGATAGATTTATTTATCACTCTATCCTATCTTAAAATGTAGGTGTACCTTACAAGTTTCTTACAGAGGGTCCAATTGATTGGTTATCCCATTTATATTTTTTATATTTAGCGTATCTATGAACTTCAAAGTAATGTCAAACATATTAATAATTTAATATAACAATCTTTCTATAATAAAGTTCAAAGACAAGAAGCTAATTGTTAAAAAATATGTAAGGAAATTCAGTGTTGGGAGGTTATTTTCTGTCCAGTATTTAAATTGTGTTTGCATTCAGGTTTTAAATATTAAAGAACTAATTTAAAGAAAATGTTTCTTTGACGTTTTTCAATAACTTTGAAAAATACAGTCAGTAGTTTTATTTATTATTTAACAAGATTTTATTACATTTTTATCACCCAAAAGATGGCTTGTTTACAGCTATAATTAATATAATTGTAACATTGATTAGATAATAACAGTAATAAACAGTCTGCAGCAGATGTTTGTCTTTTGTTTCCCACCAACACTCTCCAGTCGTTTATCACCTCCCAAATCAGTATCTGTTTTCCATCATTGTATAATTTAGATTTCCAATGCATCGTCCCTCATTTTGCCTTTTTAAATAAAATGACATCTGACACACTCCGTTCTTCACAGGAAGGACATCTGTGCGTCCATCAACATGCCCTGTGAGACGCTGGGCCTGTCCCATGTGGCGGGGATGTGTCAGTCGCATCGCAGCTGCAGCATCAGCGAGGACACCGGCCTCCCTCTGGCCTTCACCGTCGCTCATGAGCTGGGACACAAGTACGGTTTCACTGCACACACACACATTTTATTTTTATTATACCTTTATTTACCAGGATAGGTCTCATTGAGATTAAAAATCTATTTTTCAAGAGAGTCCTGGCCCAAGAATGGTAACAGCACAGTTAGAGACAATTTTAAAACACACAATCACAACAGTCATACAACAGCGGCCTGCTTCAAGGTAATTTAAAGTCGCTTTGAGTTTGTTACATACAATAAACACACACATTTGAATGTTCTGCTTTATGTTCATTTAGGCGAGTAATCGGCAAGGGAAAACTAAGAAAACAACCCCCTGTGATCACTTGATGATGATATGTTTCCATTTAACTCAAATGATTCCATCAATATACATTACTGTTCACCCATAAGCTGTCCTACTGTATGTGGCACAGCAAATAAAAAACTAAACTCCTAAAGATTCACCACTTAAAATGTCTACGTAGTTTTTGAAACAACACATTTATTTCAGGCAGACATGAAGAAAAGCAGCCTGAATTAACCCTCTGGAGTCTAAGGGTATTTTCTCGATTTTTAGATGTTTTCTTAAATCACCTTTTAAATGTATTTCTTCTAACATGGCACCCCATGTGTTACATATCAAAATGTTCAGGACAATCTCTGGTATTGCTATATATGCAAATTACTCACCTTAGAGCACTGTTTGATGAGATAAGTAGCTCAAAAGCTTAAAATTTGACATCCGATTTTCGGAAAATCTTCAAAACTCTTATGAAAACACAAATTTACTCATGTGATCGAATTGTTTTGGTGTTTTAGATTTGGTTACCAAAGTCTTAGGATCACAAAAGCAGTGGAATATTTGAATTACACTGTATATAAATGTGTTATTCATGTCTAAAATTAAAAAAATTAAATTTGAATTTTGAGTAAAATAGGTGTTTATCACTCTACTTTCACCACAGCAGGGACTGAGATACATCAGGACTGAATAATGACTTCATATTACATACTAAGGTTCATGTGATGTGTACAAATACAAATTGAGCATTCAACCTTTTTTTTCAACCAACTATTTATATAAATATAAGAAACTGGAAAATCTAACTATTTACAATATTGAACATCAGAACTTTCAACCAACTATTCATTATAAATGTCAAGACAGTGTCAAGGTCTTTGTCTGTCTTCCAAAGACAGTTGGTTGGCTGCTGTGCGATGGGGAGTTGATGGTGCATGGGCTGCTGTGTAGGTGGGGTGTACAAGTGCTATACGAGACCTCCTTGCTGGCTGGGTTGAAAGTGATGGCTGTGGTGGAGCCTTTGTGCGGAGGTGTATCTTGACCTGGTGGCAGCAGCAGATGGAGGTGGAGGCAGCTGTAGTGATGTGGTGCCTTGGTGGGATGTGGCGGGGGGAGGTTGAGAGAGGAGGTCTCGCTGGACTCAGTAGAATATCTCTTCCACGATCTCCTTCTATCCGATCGATTATTCCCTGCCTCTCCATCATTTTACGCTCTACTCGGCGCATAAGATCGACTCACGTCTCTCCTCTCTCTCTTCTCTACTCTCTAACTCTCTTCTCGCTCTCTCTCCTCTCTCTCAAACTGCGTGGAGCATAGGGGAGGCAGCTGAGGATGCTGGTCTGCTGTCTTGGCTGCTTGGACGTTGGGAAGAGCTCCTCTCTCCTCTCTCTCTCTCTCTCTCTCTCTCTCTCTCTCTCTCTCTCTCTCTCTCTCTCTCTCTCTCTCACTCACACAGGTATTTCCAGTTACTTTACATTCAATATAAAATCACAGACACACATATACATAGGCTACATCTGATTACAAAGTCTCATCTGTACAGGACGGTAAAATAATAACAGGCACACATATAAATAAATCTATGACAAAGTATCATTTGTACAGAACAGTATGATAACATAATCGATGGCAAAAACATGTCACTGTAAATGTCTCCGTTGTGGGACGAATAAATGATTAATTTAATCCTCTACACATGTAATCTCACTTTTACACACCAAAATAACGTTAACACAGAGTAAACGTTTGCTAATGGAGAGTCTATTTTGTCCCAATAAAAAGTTCATGACTATCGATAAAAAATATATATCAATAAACCTATTGTTCATTTTCGCGGTATTCCCCACACATTGCCAGTACACTATTACTGTAATATTTACACTTACCCATGTCCAAATGGATCCTTGTTGTTGTCAAGTATTCTTCTTCTTCAGAAGAGTCGAAGACTTCAGGTTCTGAGGCTCTATCTTCACTGCTGCTAGCGAAAAAAATCTCTGGCGAAGTCGGCAACTGTAAAGTTTTAGCCATTTCCTCTGTCTCTCTCTCCTCACAAACGTAAACTGATGGGAGACACGTGGTTTATGTTTTTTTTTACTTGGTGGGTAGGCCCTTAGTGATTTCTCGATGTCCATTGGTCATTTCAGACCATGCGTTGAGCGGCCATATTGGCTGATGTGCCCTGGTTTCAGTCTCACAGGAGATACCGCTGGAAAGCTACTCTTCCAGCGATTCCGCGGATATCTGAATCATATTTCTACTCCTTATAATCGAAAATATATGATTAATTACGTAAAATGATACGCACCTAAAATATTTCATCAGCTGAAGAATAGTATGCTTATTATGCCGGGTACTCTCTCATTGCTGCTCATTGCTGCTATGTTATCACAATTATTCCAGCCTTTTAAGTACTACTGCTAAGGAATCATTCATTATTTTCCTTGAATGTCTCCACAACAGACTTCATAATTAGAGGATAAACTAATAGAATGTTAACAAAAAAGGACAAAAGCTTTTCATAAAGGAACAAAAACAATGCATCAAACAAAAGCCAACCTTAACCTTAAAACTGGGGTGGAGCTTAAAAACCTCTCTTACAAATCATATTCTGAATCACCTATTAGAGTATTTAATTGTTTTCTATTGTTGATTGGTTCATTTTATTTGAAAGTACATGACCTTGCCCTTGTTAGCTACCGGTTCTGCTTGGATTAAACTCAAACTCAGTGGCGAACCCTATCACAACTGGACCTTCTGTAGACACCCCCCCCCCCCCCCCCCCCCCCCAATGTGGCGATTACCATCTTGATCAGCAAAACGCCTCACTTATTAAGATTTAAAGCTATGGTGCGTTTTGATTCAATGCTGAGTACAGCCAAACTTGACAGGCTCTTCTCTGTCATTGTAGACCGCAAACAGAGTATTTGTGTTGGGTAAACTATGGTAGGGCTAACCCATACAGTGGTGGAGCTCAAGTCAGTATTTGCAATGTAATTACATACACGCTCCCCTTGACAGTGAAACGCCATGCGTGAGGTTTAGATTATTTCCCTGTCTCAATCCAAATTGAACTGTATGAAATAAAAAGGCACATTTGTCTTGTAGTAAATAAAAAGGGTGACCTGAAGCCAATCCTGCAATTTCTCCACAAGTGAAAGAGTTGACATGCTGAAAGCCCAACCCCTGCAGGGGGGTCTGGGGGGATTCTCCCCCAGGAGATTTTTTGAAATACTAACATAAAATACACATTCTGGTACTCTCTAGACAAGAAAATAAATACATCTATTACTCCACGACATATTTAAAAAAATGAATGCTATTTTAGTTTTGTGTTACTTTGTTCTGAAAGCTGAACCTGCTGTTCCTCACAGAGAGAAGAGGGAAGAGGCTGTGAATGACTTTACATGGTGGATAAGGGTGGATAGCCCCCATTGTTCTGTGTCAAAATGAAAGACAGCCCACACACCTATCAATCATCAAACCGTGGGGTCTTATTTCATTACGTGTTGATTTCTATCAACACGTAATGTTGTATCGATGTATATAGAGATGTACTACAGCAAAAGTATTCTCCGTCGGGACTTCCTGCAACAACACCACGCCGTTATCTTGATTCTGATTGGCCAGAAGACATTATCAAAGATGTTCTATTGAGAAGACGATCACTACGTGACAAAAGTTTTCAAAACCGTTTCTGGTCTTCGGTATTTCCAGGCAAGTGGCTACTGAAATCAATCTGACTAACTGCTGTCTGTGCAATTTACTCCGCGAGTTGGCGGACTTTATTTTGCTTACTTTAACATCATTTTTCATGGTGGGGCTAAGGTGGGGCTAAGCCATTTCCACGCTCGCACCAGGGCCGGGGGAGGGGTTACAAGGCTCGCGTCTTGTGCTGCATTCACTTGCATTCGGACATTAGAGATTTTCTCTCATAAATGTCCGATGCAGCTAAATGCAGCTGGGGTGGCAAGGCCTTTTTCTGAGGTGGCAGCTGCCACCCCGTGCCACCCCGTAGAACCGCCACTCTCGCATTCATAGATCCTCTGTCTCGAGCCAGTTAACTAGCGGGCCGAATCTAGAGTACCCTGGAACCGAGGGAAACTCTGAAAGAATACGCCCATTGGCTACAAATATATGATTGGTTGATCAAACTGTCAGTCCAAACGTACGCTCTCATTCAGTGCAACGGCCAGGGCATTCTATCAAGGATGTAGAATACCTTGGTTGAAGGATATTCTACCCAGAGACCCAGAACAACATCTGATTGGTTGCTTTATTTTCTAACACAAAACCACTGAAATGGGTAGTTTATGGTCCGAGAAGGACAAACAAATCAATGTAACACTGTAATATTACAGATCAACAACACAGATACGATTCTCATTTATTCATTGTATATACATTTTATTTATATAATTAAATCAATGTTTTGTTTGTTTTATCTGAGTGTTCCAGGGTATTCTCTGAATACCTTGAAGGCCCTGACGGTTCGCCACTGATTAAACTAATGAAAACTCATAATTATAATTACATTAATGTGAGGAATAACGATAACTGTAAATGGCACATACAGAATTCAAACAGACAATCTATAGTCCAAAGAAATTAGACGTTTACCTTTCATTACATCTGCGCTAATTTTCTCATGTACTGCATCTATCCATCTACCATTTGTACATGCACTTTGCAATCATAGGCCCATTCTTCTCAGACCGATTCAATTTGTTCTCAATCAATGAAAACAGTGTGTGGTTCATTGTGCTATTGTATATACATCTTGATTGTTATGGCTGAGCCTGACGTACCTACCCTCACCATATGCGTGTGTATGATTGGCAGCCAGTTCTCGGTATATGTTCACAGAGATTTATTTCTAATGCTAGGCAGAAAAGAGGCTGCTGTGAATACCAAGCAGTCTGTCCTATGGGAGAAAATGTATTCACTGAAACTACAACAGTGGGTTTTTTTTCAGCTACTGTGACCTTTCACTCAGGTTTGTCCAGGAATGTCCTGATTATAAAATGGGTGTCCTTAGTCTGGAAATATAATTGTAAAAAACCCAGAAAAGTCAATAATGATACTGTCTCACTTTTATTACGACTGCCACACATAAGCGTTAGCCAAACTCAATGGTCCCATTTATTTGTTTCAAATATGGACAGCCAAAATGTCAGCATTCAAAGAAGAAATATATGTATACATAATATGAATTACAGTACACAATCCTGTGGCATAAAAAAGCAAAGGCTAATTAACTAGATGCTAAAAAGATCAATAGATTAACGATATGTTGTATTTAGTTGTTACACAGTTAAGTTACACAGGTGATAATAAATTCCTGCAATTGTCATTTTAGCTAATGGTTCCTAGCTAATGTTGATCATGATAATGTTACCGTATTCCCCGAAAACATTTCAAATGCGGTGAAAACAAGCATAATGTTAACTTGTTATTGAATGAAATGTTCACACAAAACATGAGAATGTATGTTTATTTTACGTTAAAATTCACTTCTTTGTTCATGTATAGTTTGCATTATGTCTTGTTCATGCTGAAATCCATTCATAAGCGGATATTCTGTGTGCATAAAGTGTTGTTCAAGATCATCAGCAGAACAGCAGAGCAGACGCAGGCTCCAATGTTATCTGTTGAAACAGGGATTTTTTTATATATCCCTCACAAATGGCTTATTTTTAAGTCATTGGTAGAATCAGCTTAATTAATCTTACCGCAGTTGTTTTTCTCACTGCTTTGATATCTACCTTGAAAGAGAATGTGGACAATCTGTTTACATTTTTATTTATTTTGTATCCCTGCTGTGACCACATTGTTCAATCTGTTATGCCTCTGTCGCTCAGCACTGCAGGACACCTGCACCTGCAGGACAATAGATAAGGGTTGTAATCTCAGCTTGAGCAATTATGCGATTCACAGAAAGACGTATGTACAGTCTTTGTTTGTTGTAGTCCTTTCCTTGAAGTACATGTAATGCATTGTATCTACTGACTTTAATTACCCTCTCTGTTGGATTTTTTTTTTCTCACAGCTTTGGGATTCAGCATGATGGCAACGGTAATGACTGTGAACCCATTGGGAAACGACCTTTCGTCATGTCTCCACAGCTCCTGTACGGCACCTCCATGCCCAGGTGGTCCCGCTGCAGCCGCCAGTATATCACCCGCTTCCTAGAGTGAGTGTTACCCATGATGCATTACTACACTGCTGTCTGAAGTTTGACTTAGATCGTGTGTTTCTTTCAAAGTTTTCTCTGCCCAAAACTTTAATAAATGTATGTTAAAGTTGCAAAGGCCATCGTATACAGTAAATATATATGTGTGCTCTGTGTGGAAAGAAAGAGTTTATGTGCTACTTGAAGTTCTATACATGTCTAGATGACCTTCATATTCCTCTCTTAGGTTCAATTTGAAAGAAAATGATGGCTTCTATAGAGTACTATACCTCAAGTGGAACTTTTTCAACAGCAGGAATACGTTTGAAACAAAGGATTACAGAGGTTCACACAAGGATACCTAAGAATCCCAAATAAATCATTTAAATAACAATAACAGTATAAATAAAATATCAACAATAGCCTGAACATTATAGTACATAACATTCCCGTTATTAGGCTCTGAAGCTGGGTTGAATCATTGATGGTGGAGCGTAATGGCTACAGGTACAAAGGATTGCTCAGTCTGCGGCTGAGGGAGTCTTTGTATGTGCTCTGAATGTAATACTCCTTTTAGTCTGAGGAGAAGTCAAGCTTCAGCAATGTCAACTGGTGCATTTATTTTCCCACGTTTGTCATCTAAGTGGGAGACGAGCAGTAGGTAGATTTATGTGTGGATTTTTAGATCATGGAAATCTTTAACCTTGTGGAGCAGCGTTTGAGTGCAACTTAAATATGTGTGTGTGGGGGGGGGGGGGGGGGTTACAGTATGTTGGAAGGAACGGGAAGCTGGGGAGGTTGTGTTGAAA